ATAATTACTGATAATCAATATATAAGAAATTGTCTAGAAATAGATGAAATAATTGTGAATGACTAAGATTGATTTTAAAATATCGAGGTTAAATAAATTATTAAATTTTATTTACTATCGTTATTTATGCAGTTTATTAGTATAAGTGATAACAGGTTTTAATAATAGTCATGTGGGAACAAAAAAAAAACAAAAAAAAAACATAGAAACATAATAAGTTAATAAATGATAATGTATGTTACTTACTTTTTATTAATATAATTTTCATTTCAAGGACCTGTTAATATACTGCAAATTATATATGTTAAATTTTCTTTTTTTCTGGTATCTCAAGTATTCATATAAATAAGTAATCAGGTAAGAATGACTTTCTATTTTTAAATTGAGGGCTCCACGTTTAATGTATTTTTAATATTTTAGATGTAATATATATATATATATATATATATATATATATATATATATATATATATATATATTGATAATGTATTAGATATAATAATTACTCTTATTATATACTCCCTCGTTCCATATTCAGAAACTCATTAATATGCATAGATTATACTAAACACAAAAATACCCTTGTCATTAGTTATTTTTCAATTAACTAATTAAGGGTGATCAGGGACAAAAATTGATAAATTAAAAAAAAAAAGAGGCAATTAATTGAAAAACGGTTTATGAAAATAAAGACAAAGTTAAGTATTAGATGTGGATGATCAAAACTATTTTAAATTTTAGGTCAAAGAAAGAAAGTAAATATAAGGTTGTATACGTATAATTAGACCGAAGGAGGTCAATATAGTTTACTCAACATTTGGTCAGGGATAAAAATATAATTTAAAAAAATAAATAATAAAAAATGAGTTAAGTCTTAGCTACTAACCAAATTCAAGTGATATATGCATAATTTTTCAAATAAGAGGCAGCCTAGCTGTTAATACACCAAATATCGGGCCCTGGTATAGTAAATTTACACTTTCTTTAAGGAACTTGTTAGTAAATTTGACCAGATCGATAATAACATATGAATAACACGAAAAAAGATTTAATTGTTTCAAACAATATTTATGCAGAGAAATTCAAAATAATGAAAATTATAACTATCACAACAACATAAAAGAAATTCAAGATAACGAAAATTATCAACTATCACAACAACATAAAAGAAATTTTAATGTGAGCATTTTTCATACATGAATTAATATATAATAATTTATTTTAGTTATTTTCTTATCGTTTTATATTCTTATTGATTTCAATTTTAGAATAATTTTATTAATTAATCTTAAGTTATATATTAACTATTAAGTAAAATCATACATAATCACGTGTAACACACGTGGTGCTTTCTAGTTCCTACAAAACTTCAAATTTTATTTGGCTTTTTCTGAGGTTGGATTATCTTTCTCGGGCAAACACTCACCAAAGAGCTATGTCCTGTTTGATTTTAAAAATATTACAAATAAGTGATGCTTCAAACAAAGATAGAAACCTAAGAAGTAGAGCCGGAAATTAACATTTTTGAAAATTTCTAATTTGTTTCGACAAGAATACACTTATTACTGATCCGAAGAATTCCAGAATATAATCAGAACTCGAAAATGGATTTGAATCAACATAAAGATTTACAATTCAGTATCTTGTACCAAAAGGTGAAATCTCTCACCCCAGAGTCTCCATCCATTGGTCCGACATATTTGATGAATAATGTAAATCATGGTAACTCGAAATCTCTCACCCCCAGAGTCTCCATCCATTGGCCCGACAAGTATTTGATGAATAATGTAAATCATGGTAACTCAACGACCCGTTAGGGTAGCGGACTCGGACTTGGTGTCCATAAGGAACCAATCCTCATTGGAGTTGAAATTCCCACACTGCGGCTTCCAGGAGTTGATCCTAGGACCTTGTACCAACTTACTACCCCGAAACCAGTTGCACTATAGTTACACCCATCCGGGCTACAATTCAGTATCTTATTTACATTGAACATGTTTTTAGAACAATTTTGAAAGAAAAACTAAACAAATGCTCGTGTCGAATTCTATTTTATCAAAACAAAATCTCGGTTTAATTAGAACCACACTGGATAAAGGTTTTGTTAAGGTTTAACAAAATTTAAAAAGTATAATCTTACTTCCTTTTCATATTTTTTTTTCAAATATTCAGGCCACAAAAACAAGGTTGTCACATTCACTCAATAAAAGAATGGAAGATAATTATGAGGAATTAAGTTCTATTTATCCTTTCTTTTTGGGATGCATAGAGTCTCATAAGTGATCGGTAAATCGAGCATTAAATTAGAATCTTTATATTTCGAGAAGGTTTTATCGCATTTAGCATCCTTGCATTACCTCTACTAGTTACAAACAAAACATCCCATATATAATGAGTATATGCTTTCATTGCAATCTAACGATATCGTTCATCATATCGCGGGAAACAACTTTCAAAAACATTGATGGCGAACAATCAATTAATAACCAACTATCCAAGGTCCAACTTACCATACAAAATCATGGTAATTCAAAATTAAATAAACGAACAAAATACAAAGAACGATAATTCAAAAACTAAGCACGCGAAAAGAGAAAAAAAAAGTCTTTGAGAGGATTACGAATAGACTTTCTTCCTCATTTAAAAAACTGATCAAATGCCATTTTTTTAGTCCTCCAACATAACAAGGCTACCGTTGTACGTCACGAAATTAAGGTAACCTTGATCTTCAACTCCAAGGTACGAAATCGCGTTACTTTCGAAGTGGCATACGGTCAAATCACACTCACCGTCTTCAAATATAATCTCGCCGTTGTTAGTAAACATAATCGGAGTAACGACTTCAGCATCTATTACCACTGTGTATAGTTTCGTCCAAGAACTCACCACTCCGTACTCGTTCATTACCCACAAGTGGCAGTTTTTGTGCCAAGAAAAGTGATCCGACTGATGAAATACAAACATAGCAAGATTCCCTTTATACACTCCAATGTGTTCGACCAAGTCTTCCCCATCGGCTTTATAATTAGGCAATCCTACCTGTCGGAACACCTCTTCTCCCATATGGTACGCCAAAATTACTGGAATACCCTCGTCCCCATCTTTGTGATCCGTCTTCCAATGAACCGAATCACGCATCACAGCTTCCGATTTTAATTCGATCATTTCCCATGGAAAGTGATCCACTTCTATATTCTTCCAAGAATTTGCGACCATTGAATAAACCTCGATTTTATTAGTTGCCTCACCTTCCTCGTCACTTAGGATAACAATCCTAATAATCAAGTAATCGTTTGTCTGTTCGTAATACCCAAACCCTAAAGCAAAATCAACATCACCTCGGGACGATAATTCAACACCATCAAACATTGGGTTAATTACGGTCCTGTATTTTCTAATCGAGGGGTTACACAAATATACAGTGCTACCGAAGCTATTCGCATCAGTGAAGCACAACACACCGTTACAAGAACCGATTATAATGAAGCTCATATCACGAAACTCGGAAGGAATTTCGAATTCTAGGGCCTGATCGAACGTTTCATCACAAAGTAATGTGAAAGCATGCTCGATGGTACGGTCCAACGGCACATAAAGAAGATAGTCTTTCCCTTTAGCAGCCTGGATTTTAGAATGCTCTTTTACGAACTTTGGGTCGCGGATTATGTTCTTCCACGCTTTGCAGACGCACTAGAACTTGGCTAGGGCTTCGACCGGAAGCATCGACAGGATAACTATCATGATATGAAATGGGAGATCAATTGATTCCATTTTGGCGCGAAAGAATTACAAAAACGGAGAAAGAAAGAACGAACAAAAATCGATTTAACACTGTTCTATTTGTTTATGGAATGGCTATGACTGTTGTTCAATTTGCACAAAAACGAGATATATATAGCACTAGGGTTTGATTGAACAACGATTCTGAATATCGTAAAATGCACTCAACTAGGAATGTAACGATATTTGAAATGCTCGAAAAAAAATGTAATGTTGGCTGCAAAATGTAAGGTAACAACTAATTGGATTACGCCATAATTCTTTTTCCATTCGGAGTTATAATGAATCTGGACACGATTAGCAAGTTTATAACTGCATTTAAGAGGTTTCTGCCATTTGTAATAAAATCCTATCTGGCAATGTATGAAGTTGGATACAACTAATTTATTACACGAACCGATACCAAAAAAAATTCAAATTTGATGTTTTTAACATAAATTTGAATGATTTTAAGGTTTATAATTACCATATACAGTTATTCCATTTGATACATACTAAATTTGAAAAAAAAATTAAAATAAAGATAGTTTACGATGTAGGAATTATCGTCAAGTGATGAAGAATGGATTCAGATAATAGATTCTCTAATGCAAAATCTAGGTTAAATTCATCTATTTTACGGTAAATACTCGAAGGAAACACATGTGAACATATAGAAACATATGGGTAGGAATTATTCAGTAAATACAACCGATCTCATACATACATGGTTTAGTTATTAAATTGTTTCCGTATTCGATTAAAACTTATCAAAAGGGCTACGTGAATTATTAGGTCGAGATGAATGTACTTTAGTAGTACATTAATTGTTTAACTTAAATTTAGAATATCTTAATTTATGAAAACACGATTGCTAACCCTGCTTTTCTTGTTCGATATATAATCATACGATTTTCTCTATAGTAAAGATCATTTAGCTTTCCCGTTTCCAGTTTAAATACTTTTAGTATAATTGACTTTTCTTCGTGGTATTATCCTAGACAATGCAAATATTTGGTATTAATAGTTTTAAGGTTAAAATATAAGGTAGCTAAAAAGGAAATCGTGATTGCTATATTGCTACCTGGTTCGAATATGCATAAACCAACGCACACTCCCATCTCGGAGCAGCTTCTTGCCTATTATGAATTTGTGCTTCAATCTGCTCTTTAGACTGTGTGTTGTCGTCACAATTCTCACCCATCTGTTAGTCATAATTCAATTTTTCTTAGTTCAAAGCATACAAGAGTTATTGAAATGAAACAAAACTCAGAAATAAATTTAGAGAGCGAAAAACATCTGAAAATATAGAATGCATTATTTTTTCATCCATAAATAGTGTCGCCTAATGCAAGATAATGAGATGCATATACGAGTTGAAAAGGAAATATATAAGACCAGGTGAATTACAGGTATTATTCTCGATTTCTCGAGTTCTCTCCAGTTTTCTGATTGAACACGAGCCCCAGTTTCTGCATGCACTTCGATCAACGATGTGAGCCTTCATTGCTCGTGTTTCCTATAAAAACAAATTACATCCAAAAAGTGTAATTACCTTATTTTCTTCACAGTCATGTGTTGAGGCCTTGTTTGGTTGCAAAAACAAGATAATACTTGAAAATTGCAATCTCATTATGCCAATTCCTCGGATTCCATTCCGACATTGGATTTTACCCTAAATGAAACGGACATGGTTGGAATTTTACCATAATGACTAATTGTGCTTTTCGAGATGAGAATTTATCATAATTACCATTTAATCAATCTGTGGCCAAGCTTAATATTTGTATGTTTCTTTCACTTAATTTACGTAAAATGTATTGCGTATTTCTTCTCGGCCACTTGCTACTGTGATCACCGCATCCGAAGTGCTGGAGCTTATTGAAACCAGAGCATCGCTCTCCCTGTACGACGTCATACTGCCGGAAACTCTCAAGCTCTCTGCTCTCCGGCGTCTCGGATTTCCCTATGCCGCCGCATTCCGTGCCAAGGATCTCGATTGCTCTAATGCCCAGTCGACTTTTCTAAATTACATCTCTGCCATCGCCGATGAACTCAAATGTGAGTCTCTCTCTCTCTCTCTCTCTCTCTCTCTCTCTCTCTCTCTCTCTCTCTCTCTCTCTCTCTCTCTATCTCTCTCTCCTTCAACCCTTGAATTGTTAGATGCAGAGATGTAAAAATTTGAAGCGGATTTGTTATGATATTGTTGCTCGATTTGTTGATTTCATATATATATTTTATATAATACATGGATATATATATATATATATATATATATATATATATATATATATATATATATATATATATTTTATCAATACATGTTAGCATATTTAATGGAATATTCTGCTGGAAAATGGGATGAGCGAGTGCTTGAGTATGTTGAACAACTGTTTAAGAAAACTCGGTAACCGCTTTTGAATAAGTTATCTTAAGTTTGATCTGGTTAGGCCTATTTATCCAAATCGAATATGTTTTGATCATATAATTAAGAAAAGCCGTTAATTTGTGTAAGTTTTCGCGGTTGATAGATTATTGGCTAAGTTGTTTGTTAGCTATCACAAAGTGCTCGATTTTTATTTTTTTTCATTTGTAAATATGAAGATGTTCTTCAAGATGTGAATTGACATCTATTGTTCATCTATTTTGTATTGTTTGTTCTATGTGATAACAGGTTTTGATTTTTTCTATATGGACCAAGATCTTGGACATAATAGATTGCTATTTCAGTGAATAATATAAATATTATATAACAAATTATACATTTGTTATATGGATTCATGGTATGTTTCCTCTTGAAGAAGGTTCATGCTTTGTTTCCTCTTGAAACCTTTTCCATCGTGTGCTAATTTGATACATTTGCAGTCTAGGAGGATTAATGTATTCATTACACACTACGATTGTTCATAGCCTTAATATTCTATCAAAATGAATGAGATTTTGAATAAAGCAAACTGATAAAACCTCGAAGCTCTTAATCTCTTGATCTTCTGAAAAACCAAGTTGCTCCAAATCCTCCATTTGTAATTCACTGTCATTTACAGGTTCTTATGGAGAATCTTTGGTGTCTGCACTTGTTGATCAGATGTTCTTTCATTCTCTTTAGTAAGCTTTATAGTGTGTTAATCATTTTTTTTTGTTATTCTTGCATAATGATGTTGATGGCGCCATGTTACATGCTTTTGAAGACTAAAGTTGGTTGGTATCGTGTTTTTATGAAGGTGAATGATCATGTTTTTATTTACCTTTTGAATAGGTAAGTAATATTTTGAATCATATCTTGCAGGTATGTTCTAAAGAAAATTCGTCTCTCTAAGGAGACAGAATTTCAAGAACAAAGAGTCCCACGAGGTTATTTTTAAATACATGCGTTCTTGAGTGTTCCGGAATTACGTATTTTTTTTCGAGTGTGAACTATTTTGTTAGTGGACAAATATACTGTTCAATGAATAATGATTGTTCGAGAGTTAGTTCTAATGTATGTCTGTCTATGTTTGCAGATGAGGTTAATTCCAATACTGCGCCATCCGTATATAGTTGAATATAAAGATGTTTGGGTCGACAAGGTATTATGTTGTTTCGTTAATCTTAATTTTCGTGTTTGAAAGATTTTCTAAATTTCTGATATATTTTCTGCAGGGAAATAATATTTTTCAATTTCGGCTAAATAGCAATAGTTTATATTTGTTGATCTTTTTATTTTCAATTTGCAGATTCTAAAGTACTAATAAGGTTGTGAGGAGGAAGGATATCGCTCGACCGAACGAAGGACGGTGTCTATATATTATGTAGTTTATTTTTTAATGTAAGTTTCAATTTGATTTAATTGACTCATGTATTTTGTATGTGTAGTTGTGCGATATATTTCAATATAATTTTATTTCTGAAATTATTGTTTAGTTTTGTGCAATTGTATTATTAGTTTATTTAATTTAAGTATGAATAATATAAATATTATATAACAAATTATATATTTGTTATTTATTATTTTTTTTGTGACGAAATAATTGTCTCAATAGATATTATGTTTCATGTGACAAAATAATTTGTCACAAGAAGTAATTGAAAAGATTACTTCTTGTGACGACAAATGTTTTTAGTGACGAACAAATTTTGTTTATGCGACGACCACTTCGTCACAACAATAAAACTTCCTTTGTCACAATATTTTGTGACGAAAACTTCAGTTTGTCACATAACACTTTTCGCGACAGGGCCTACGCGACGACCCTGTGATGAAAAAATATGTCACCTAAATTTTTTTGCGACGAAATAATGAGTTTTTGCGATGAGTTTTTGCGTCACATAAAACAGTTTTTTTTGTAGTGGTAACCACAAATTTTGTGAGAGCAATTCTAAGGTACGCGATTCGGTTTTGGGTCAAACATCAACTTAGAAAATTTTGCTAAAACAATTGGGGTGCAATGTGAATGATTAGTTGCCTTTTGAGAGTGCAAAGTGCTATTAATATTTTCCGGGAGTGAAAAGTGCCGAATGCTATATTTGGAATGCCAAGTGAAATAATTAAGTCATTCCGAAAAGATAAAAAATGAAACGAAGTTGTAAAATCGTCACAAAAATTCAATTATTTTGGCTAACATGTTTAGGGTTTAGGGTTAACATATACCTCACTGCAAATATTGTTAATTTACTCATTTTCTTGAGTTATAATTTCAATTTTGTCTTTCTCGATTATGAATATGATCGCATGTGTTGGTAATAGATGTTTCGTTGTGTTATATTATATTACAAAAAAATTGAAGAAAATTTGTATAACAATTAATCACGTCAGTGAAAAGCGCAATGATATTGATGACCCACAAAAACTGTTATTTCACTCACTCGAAATTAACCAAGAAAAAAAATGAAAAGGAATTTTTTTTTCAGGGAAATGGATCAATGAAATCCATGTTCTTGCAAACTTTTGAGAAATTTTCTTGCTTACCATGTGATGAGAAGTCTTTTTTGACCTATAAATCAGGAAAATCAGTGTATTTGACTATGTTCTTTTTCCAATTCCACATTATTTCGGTGGAGCACTTGAACAACCAACTTTGTTTCATATCTTTTAAAAAGAATCAACTCAGTCCCCAAATTGTAAGGTTATTAGTGAAATAAGGAGATATATCCATAACTTACACTTTCACCCCTCAATTAGGATTTTCGTTATCGTTTCATCATTCTGCAATTTTAAAGGGGTTTTTAGGTATTGTTGCAAAATTATTGTAATGTAATTTTTGGGGTTTGCTTCAAGATTTGAAAACAAAAATTAGATACAGAAAATAAAAAAATAATTAGTGGGATCATGAATACAAATGTAAATAGAAATTATATGAATCTAAAAAATGTTATATTATAATATTAAACAAAGTTGAATTATAAATACCTTAGTTTTTAACGTCAATGAATTATATTTAAAAAAAAATAATGACAATAATAATCTATCTATTCAAGAAAATATGATAGTGTTCCAAGAAGAAGTTGTAAGAAAAAATTAATACATATAAGAAGAAACGAGTAAATAACATTTTCCAATGATGATCGATGTACAAATAAAAAAGTATTAAATGGAATAAAAATATACGTAGAAATTAGGAATCTATACATATTATAATATTAGACCAAGTTTGACTAATGAATAATATCAATACACTCCAAATAACTTCAATATTTTAATTTGTATTATTATTTTGATCGAATATATGCCAAAAAAAACAAAAAAAACCCCGATTAAATTGACACAAGACGTGCAACGCGAGTCCACCTTCCTAGTACTATTAAAAGTTGCGAAATACATTTATTAATAAAAGCGTATAGTGCCTTTTATCTGATATAGCAATATTAACTCGTTAGTTAGATTGGTATATATGGGTGTTTACACAGCTCATTCTGTAACAATTTTGATTCAGCTGAATATTCAAGATTCAATATGAAATTCTCTACTTCATGTACTTCCATGGAACCAGATCTCGAGTTCTAATATGGTATCAGATGAATAAATTCCGCGTTTATTTGTTTCTATGTTTCCGGTGATCAGTTCCGATCATCTTCTTCGTTCATTCTGCTATATTCGATCAATCTTCTTCCATCAGTTTTATATCTGGTCTTCGATTCGTTTCAGATCGGAAAACGGATACCCCTCCGTTTTTCTTCTTTCTAGTTTTTCTTTCAATCTTCAATTTACGGTCCAACGCAATCCTATCAATGATCCCGCCACTCCCTATTTCATACATCCAACCGAGGGCCCAGGCCTCACGCTTGTTACACAATTGCTCACCGGCAACAATTATTTCTCATGGAGTCGTGCTATTATCATCATTTCATTAATTGTGAAGAATAAGCTGAGATTTCTCAATGGGGTGATTCCTTGCCCAAGCAAAATTGATGATCCATTGACCTGTAGTGCTTGGCTTCGCAATAACCATATTGTTTTTTCTTGGTTAATGAATTCAAAGGCCAAGGAAATTCAGCCTAGTGTCATTTATTCAGCCTACTGACGTATAGTGATCACTTATCATTTTTTTCTTCCCAACATCCATTTTTTGTTCATTCACTATTTTGTGAGTTATTGTCATTCTAATTATATCCAAAATATTATCTTCACATATATATATATATATATATATATATATATATATGGGTCTATTTGATATACACCCCTCGTATGGAAAATTATAGGGATAGGTTCATATCTCTACAATTGTTTCTACTAATCCGATTAAGTCATGTTTCAATATTTTCCTCAAAGTATAAAGAGCAAAATACTAAACATTCTTCTGCCAGATACCCTTCAGCAATTGATCCTTCTGGTCGGCTCCGATTGCGTACATAAGATTTTATTGTACTCAAATACCTAAGAATCAGAATATTAAAAATAAGTATGATATAAAAATATTAAAAATAATGATTAAATAACATTCATTAAAAGACTTGCCTTTCAACAAGATACATCCAACGGTAATGAACAGGCCCTGCTAATTTTGCCTCTGTGACCAAATGAATGGTCAAATGTACCATGATATCAAAAAATGATGGAGGAAATATCTTTTCAAGCTGGCATAGTATGATAGCAATATCCTTTTCGAGGCGAACCAAATCAGAATGATGGAGTGTTTTAAAACACAATTCTCTAAAGTAACGACTCAAATGAATCAAAGGGGAACGCACTGACTTCGGCAAAAGTTTACGTAAAGAAAGTTGTAGCAATTGTTGCATTAATATGTGACTATCATGACTTTTGAGACCAAATATCTTAGTTGGCTTCAAATACACACACCTTGATATATTTGCAGCGTAACCATCAGGTAGCTTTATTGTTTTCAGAACCCTACAAAAATAATTCTTTCTCCTTCTTATTTAATGTGAAAGAAGATGCAGGTATCCATTCTTTTCCAAATTCATCAACAAAGGGATGGAGTCATGGTCTTATTCCCATCTTTTTCATATCAAGTCGGGCTTTGTAATTGTCTTTTGACTTATCAGAATCCAATAATGTGTACAGAACCTTGTCGCATACATTCTTCTCAATGTGCATAACATCGAGATTATGGCGTACTAAATTATTTTCTCAATATGGCAAATCAAATAAAATACTTCTTTTTTTCCAACTATACGGAAAATTCTGATCACCCACATTTTTTCCGAACATGTTATCAATGTCCTTAATATCACCAAATATTGTAGATCCCCTCAAATAGGCAGGTGCCGTTCGATACTCTTGTGTGCCATCAAATGATCCCTTCTCAATTCGATAAGGATGATCTTCGGGTAAGAAAATGCGATGACACATATAACAATACTTGTGAGAATTATCCAACCATTTAGAGTTGGTAAACTTATAGCATATCGGACATGCGTACTTCTCTTTAGTATTCCATCCAGATATAGCTGCAAGGCCCGGAAAATCAATGATTGTCCACAATATTGCTGCATGCATTTGAAAATTTTCTTTTGACGAAGCATCATAAGTGTTTATTCCAGACTCAAATAACTCCTTTAATTCGGCAATTATCCAGATTGTT